TTTATGTAGTAAGTATAGTTCTCCAGTAACTGACTTCTTCATAGAGAGAGTAACGTTTTATGTAGTAAGTATAGTTCTCCAGTAACTGACTTCTTCATAGAGAGAGTAACGTTTTATGTAGTAAGTATAGTTCTCCAGTAACTGACGCCTTCATACAAGTAGTAACGTTTTATGTAGTAAGTATAGTTCTCCAGTAACTGACTCCTTTATAGAGAGAGTAACGTTTTATGTAGTAAGTATAGTTCTCCAGTAACTGACGCCTTCATACAAGTAGTAACGTTTATGTAGTAAGTATAGTTCTCCAGTAGTAACGTGTTATGTAGTAATTATAGTTCTCCAGTAGTAACGTGTTATGTAGTAAGTATAGTTCTCCAGTAGTAACGTGTTATGTAGTAAGTATAGTTCTCCAGTAGTAACGTGTTATGTAGTAAGTATAGTTCTCCAGTAGTAACGTGTTATGTAGTAAGTATAGTACTCCAGTAGTAACGTGTTATGTAGTAAGTATAATTCTCCAGTAGTAACGTATTATGTAGTATGTATAGTTCTCCAGTAGTAACGTTTCATGTAGTAAGTATAGTTCTCCAGTAGTAACGTGTTATGTAGTAAGTATAGTTCTCCAGTAGTAACGTGTTATGTAGTAAGTATAGTTCTCCAGTAGTAACGTTTCATGTAGTAAGTATAGTTCTCCAGTAGTAACGTGTTATGTAGTAAGTATAGTTCTCCAGTAGTAACGTGTTATGTAGTAAGTATAGTTCTCCAGTAGTAACGTGTTATGTAGTAAGTATAGTTCTCCAGTAGTAACGTGTTATGTAGTAAGTATAGTACTCCAGTAGTAACGTGTTATGTAGTAAGTATAATACTCCAGTAGTAACGTGTTATGTAGTAAGTATAGTTCTCCAGTAGTAACGTGTTATGTAGTAAGTATAGTTCTCCAGTAGTAACGTGTTATGTAGTAAGTATAGTACTCCAGTAGTAACGTGTTATGTAGTAAGTATAGTACTCCAGTAGTAACGTGTTATGTAGTAAGTATAGTACTCCAGTAGTAACGTGTTATGGTGGTATGAACCAGATGTTTTTCATCGTTGTATTCTTTTGTTTCCCTCGTCTCGTAACCAAAATCAATACGTCGATAATTATCTTAAGTATCCAATAAATAATGCATTCCCCGTGTACTCTCAGAAAAGATCGTGTTCTTATTTAACTTGAGATAATTAGCAATTAACCTTTTTATGTATTCTAAGACTAAAATAAATCAACAATGTTATATGAAAATCACACACCATCATTTCTGTAAAAGTACAAGATTTTTCGGTCCTAAGAACTCCAGAAAAAAAAAAGTGATTCCGACTTGAAAGAAACGACTTTCAAAACTTATGATAAATACACATCGAAAATGTGTGAGGAATTTATTAAAATTCCCATCAAAAGAGAGAGAATATAAAAAAAGAGAAGAAGAAACGCGTATTTTTTTTTTATTTTAGCTCTATATCATAAAGTTTAGTATCATATTGTTTGTTTATTTAGCTCTATATCATAAAGATTAGTATCATATTGTTTGTTTATTTAGCTCTATATCATAAAGTTTAGTATCATATTGTTTGTTTTCTTTTAAAAAAAAATATTTGATTTTAGGCAAGTTTAAAAAGTAATCTAAATAAAGCTTTCTTTTTATAGAAATGTTAGTAATAATATACAATTCTTAGATAAGACTTCATTTCACGACAGTAAAAGCCAAATTACATACTTAGAATCTGTGACGTAGAT